GTGGCTGGCGCCTTAGCCGGTTGAGCTATAGGCGCTGAGCCCCTTTCTTTTCTTTTTCAAACTATTATCTTCAATTTTATTTTGGCAGTGGACTAAAATACTGGCTTCTCAGGTTACTACTTCTTTCTTGTTAAGCAGAACAAACTCAGTTGCTCCCCCCTCATGTGAATGATTTGTATTTTAAATCACCATTAGATGTAGGGCAAAATAAAAATGAATAAGACAGGATAGTTACAGAAGTTTAAGAAATCTTACCAGTTCTATCAGAGTCGTATCCCTGGTTATAGTTTCTGTTTCCTTAAATCAAACTTTCTTCTTAGATCCAAGGTCATTTTTCTGTCATATTATCAGCTAGCATGAAGGCCTTATGTTACCTAATGTTAATGCAATCAGAGTCAGATAATACATATGAATTGCTGGACATTTATAAAAGCCATTATTTGAGAATAATCAGAGGAGCTGATTCTGTAGGTCAGGGGTAAGGTCCAAGAATCTGCATTTTTCACAAGCAGCAATCTTCTTTCATCCCAATAGCAGTTCATACTTCAGTCCTGATAGTGAAGGAGGAAGATCTATTTGAGGTGAGAAGGACTGAGAAAATGGGACAAGTTTAGAAGCAGCTCAGACATTTCATCTTAATGGTGGCTTGTGCCTTTGACATGTTAAATAGAGGGGAGAAACTGTGTGCTGATGTCAGACACATACACACAGACATAGAGACTAAGAATAGGAATGATTGAATTTCAGGTGTAGAAGCTGGAAGAAGAACTGACTAAGGACCTGGAAATGGAAAAGCCTAGACGGTAGGAGGTGAGGGTAGTATAGGATCATGTGGTATAGTTTTGAGGAGAGGTGTTCTATTGGGTTCATAATGATAAGAACTGAAGAAAATTGGGAATCCAGAAGGTATATGGGGTGTGCAGCAGAATTTCTGCCTTCTGACTGGATTTTCTTCCTAAGCCCTTCGCAGAAGGTATCTCTTGGCATGGTATGAAATTCTTTATTTTGCCTGTCTATACCTAGTTGATTTCATACAGTTGTGTGGCTTTAAATACCATCTCTATGTACTCAGTTCCCAAATTTGTATCTCTGTCATATCACAGCTGAACTCTAGAATCATAAATCCAGCTGCCTACCTGACAACTTCACTTGAATGTCTGCTGTTTCAAACATGGAGTGCTATTAGGAAGTTATTGCTGTAACTCAAGGCACAGTTGATAGCTTACATTAGAGAGATTATCATTTGAGATGGTGAGAAGTGATGAATTTGAAGGAGATTTTGGAAGTATCTAAGAAGCAAAAAGTCTTGCTCATGTATTAGGCATGAGGGAAATAGAAGAAACAGATGACATCTGGATCCTCAGTTTTTGTCTTAAGCATTCATGGAAGTAGTTGTGTCATTTGCTGAGAGGAAGTAACAGGTCTTAGAAGGGGAGAGGAGGAAGGAGATCAAGAGTTTTGCTATCCCTGTAGCATATACCTCCATAATAACTCTTGAACACAAATAACTCTGTCTCCACTTCACCTCTGTAGTCTAGACTTCTATCTGTTGCTTGGGCAGCTACAGTAATTCTTTTTTTTTTTTTTTGAGACAGAGCCTCAAGCT